GCGCGCGCGCGCGCGCGTGTAAATAAAATAATATATATTGAAATAGAATTTTTACATATAGAATTAGTATATATGTATATATATTATATACTAATTCTATATGTAAAAATTCTAATTCAAGAATATAATTTAAAAAATTTAATGCAATAACTATGATATATCTTATGTTGATCAACCAAATTTAAACACTCACCAATTAATAATGACATTTGATATTGCCGATAATTCATTTCATTATCAAAAACTTGCAGAAATTGTTCTAAAGAAAAAGTACCAGAAGATAAATAATTTTGCGCATCTCGTATTTTTATATTTCTAAACATACTGGATGGAAGACGGATTTTTGTTATTTGTTGGCTGTTCATTACACTGTAGTAATTGGTATCTTGATTTATAATTAGTTTGGAAATATTATCTACAAAAATAAAAATTAATCATACTGAGAGTAATTATTAAGCATTAAATAAAATCAATAATTTAACTACCTATTTAATCTTTATATTGCTATGTAACATTTCGTAGAATATATAGGAATTGTATTATCAATAAAGTATCATACTTTATTTTTTATAATACCTTGTTATATTTATAAAATATTATATTATACGTACTTAAAAATATCCATAAATTTGGATGAACCGCATTGGATTGCATTTTTTGTCCCACGATATTATAGAACGACTCTACAAAGTTATTGGTTCTATTTGGGCAATGATATACACAAATTTTTTCTAATATCAAGAACCATGTTTTTCTCATATACGTCATAAAAAGCAACATGTTAGGATAAATATAAGACTCTTTATTTGCAATTGTTTGCATAAGACTTAAACCTTGTGAAAACATTTCTGGTGGTGCTAATACTAATGCCATTGCTATGGATACTATTTTATGTGGTACACTAAGTCCTAATTGTATCCATTTTTTCAAAACTGCCTAGAAATACAGAACATATGATTAAATTGGTAAAAATCTGATTGTAAGTATTATTTATAAGTATTCTATGAAAAGTCGCTATACAAAAAGTTTTATAAATAATCTAATGTGACAAAAAAGTAGACAAAAATTGATTACAGTACTTGGTTAGTATTAAAAAATGATTACTTGGCAATAATGGAACCAATAGCCATATAGAAATGCCTGAGGAAATTGTTTATGAAGAACATTCATTGATGTTTTTTCATAATCCATTATTATAAAACGTAAATTGTTTTGCAATTTAGGTACTAATTTAATAACTTCCTTCCATATTGAATTGTAAACACATTCTGTTATTGCTTCACATAAAATAAGTAATACTGCAATACCCTAGAAAATAATATTACAAAATATTTTATAAAAGATTACACACAATAAATATACAAAATAATTTTTTTTTATCAATATCAATATACCTTCTCCATATACCGCACATGTATTGAAAATAATTTAGTAAATTTCGGCATTCTGGGTACAGCCTAAAATAGCATATATATATATATATATATATACACACACACACACATACACACATATAACCAGAAACAAAAATATCATATTGTATTATTGTATGTACGTTTTACAGGAAATTTTAATAACACTCAGGTATAATACATAATGGCCAGTCAATATGAATAATATTGCTTTGATAAAACAAGCATTGCCCATGTTGGATAGCCATTAGATATAAATCCCAAATTAATTATATTGCTCGTAACATGTACAATATTATAGATGATATATTCACAAATATTCTAATATTTATCAACCATATTTAAACAAAGTATTAAAAATAGCTACTTACAGAAAACGTTCCATTCACATAAATTTCAGAACTCTTTTCTAATAATTTTAAGAGTTTATCAGTAGTAAATATATATGAATATTTGTTGTCTTCAGATATAATACAGCCTTTATAAACAGGTCTTGTAAATTCATATTCTTGAAGTAAATTATTCAAGTCACAAAAATTTGAAGGTAATGGAGGTCGCATTTTAACTTTTTCTCTTAACAACAGTGTTTTTATTGTATTATATGAAAGGTTTGCTGCTGCAGTTTGATTTTTTCGAGAAATTGTATCAAATATTTCTTTGGATGTTGCAGTAGTTTCTTTGGACATTTGTACCATTTCTTTTTTTAAATTAAAAATATCTATAACATGAGGTTCATTTGGATGATTATGTCTATTTCCTAAAATAAACTTTCCATTTTGTACCATTAACATGCCTCTACATAATAAACTGCGTCTTTTTGCACAACGATATACATGAATGTATCTTTTATCAATATTATATGTAAATCCCTCATATACATATATAAAACTATTTCTTCTTTTTCCAGGTATTACTTCCATTTTGATGCTATAAAAATATGTCTGTACCTACAAAAAAAAATTTTTTGTAGAAGAATATGTATTACATAAATACTATTAAGCCTTTGTGTAGAAAAATTAAACAAGTTATTACAAAGTTATAACTTGTTATAATAATATATAAAGAAATGTAAGAGTCAAATTTCAAATAAAAGTTAAGTAAAAATATAAAAATATATATATTAAATTTGTTATAGTTATGTTACATGGCATGCTTCGGCTACATGATTGAGTCCTCTTCAGATGTTACAAAAAGCATAGTAATGTTGTTAAAAAATTGAAACTATTAATAAAAATAAAAATAAAATGACACAGACCAGATAAATGTTCTTCAAAAAAACAGAAATTGCTCACAAACAGTGGAAGACTGGTTGTCTGAAATTTCTCGATATTCTGATAAAAGATTTGAATAAATTCTCAATGTATAACAAGATAAGCAAACATATAATCTTGATAAAAAAAACTAAGATGGCCTAATAGTTATTTCGCTTGAAGATGATACGAAGCACTCATCAACAAATTATATGTTATAAAAACAAATTACGTCCACAAAAAGTATATCTCAGTCAAGACGAGGAATAACGTCAGTGAAGTGATCAAATTAAAAATTGTATATAAGTGTGTTATAATGATAAAAAAGAAAATAATTAGTCGATAAGTAAGATGTTAATGTATGTAAATGTCTTGACTGACGATGACTGACTGAGTGAAGACTAAGGCTGAGCACAAGATTACCGTAACACATTAAGATTTTCAAGACAATTAACAAGATTATTTTTTACTTGCTTACAAACGATTAGATTACTTACTTTTGCCTATATAGCACGTGGTAGCATGTTATCAAAAGATATAACAATGTCCATTAATTCCAATGTCATATGCCAAAGCTTGGGCGTTGCTTACGTCTACATAACGCATAGTACATAAGCGAATCAACCTATCAAAAACCTTTCTTTTCTCCCATTTTACGGAAAAGAAGAATTTTGAGCACGAGAGACGATTCAGTGCATAATCTAATCTGTAAAAATTAAAATTTTGACAGATTGTATTAAAAAAGAAAAGACTACCACTTGAGACCCTCTTTGTCAGATTATGAAACTAACACCGCCGACCGCGCGCGTTCCCTTCCAGTAGTATTATATTTCAGTGACCTAGATGGATCTCGAGTCGTCCATGTTGGCAAGCAACCGTCTTGCCCGCGGAGCCACATATCGACATATCCCGACGAAACGAACTTTTAATTCATAATAGATTACACGTGTTTCGAGCGAATATTTCACAACTTTTAATCATTTCGTATATAAAAGTATATATTTATAACTTGTATATGACTCAATGGGACGCCCGAAAGTACTGCCTCTATACGCATGGAGATTATCTCGGAGGAAGGCATGGGTAAAGAGGTACGTAACACTCTTAAAATATATATATACCTGGAACACTCATTAGCTGCGTTCGGTAATAGCAAATCTGAGGCGTCGGAGTGCTCTTATATTATAGTATATGTCACGTGCACTATAGAAAAAGAGCACTCCGACGCCTCGGATTTGCATTGCCGAACGCAGCTATTGCCTATACCGTCAATGCATGGGGCTTGAGCCAACATGTGTGTTGTAGTTCGTAAACATTTGAGTCAAACAACCGCGGAATGGATTGATGAACCGAACGACAGAACTAAGCATGCGCATTACGAATTTTAGCTCCACTATATCTTTCTCTCTCGTATACATGTTTTATTTGTCATGGATACGAGCAGACCTTGGCTGCGTTCCGTTTCAGGATGCAAATCCATGCAGCGGAATAGCGTAACGCGGAACGAGAGCAGAACCAATAACGAGCATTCCGTGTTTCTAGAGAATCTCGTGATTGGTTCTACTCTCGTTTCGCGTTACGCTATTCCGCTGCATGGGTTTGCATCCTTATATTTAATATCTGGTCCTAATATTTCTCTTATTGTGCGTAGACCCTTAAGACGGTCTTGAATATAAGAACTAACTATGAATACCGGCCTAAATGTATAAGCCAATGGCTACGTTCAGAAAACTCAATAGTTGAGTGAGTGCTCGCTGTTATTGGTGTATTCTTTTAGATCATCCAATCAAATTTTAAATCTAAAAGAATACACCAATAACAGAGAGCGCTCACTCAGAGAGCTGCTTTTTGAACGCAGCCGATGATTCTGAACGCATCCCAGTGGTTCTGCAAAGATAAAGAAATCAAAGATTTTCATTTTTGTTTTTCAATAGTTAATAATTTATTGATTTTTGAGGTGTATTTCTCATGAGTGTCTTACAAAGCTCTGTATAAAACTAAACATGAATTTTTGTTCTATGATTTTCTCTTATATAAGGAAATGAAAATTAACAACAAGAATTTTAAGTTAATATTTAGCACGACAACTTGACTTCATATGTATTCTCTATAAAGATCTGAATCGAAGAAAAAAATTATCTTGCAATGCCTCAATCTCCTTTATAGTGAAATTGTGGTATCTACATTATGGGAAAATCACATAAGTTATCTCTTTGTGCTCATAGACTTTCGAAAAGAAAAGGATGGGTTCTAAGGTTAGTACTCTCAATTATTCTGAAGAAATTATTTTGAAGTCAAAATTGATATTTTATTATTTTATTTTCGTAAAGTCTGTATAAAATAATAATATAATGGAAGATGTAACAAACATTTTGTTCGTGGGATGTTATCAAAAGAGAAATAAATACAAACAGAATGGTATTGAATACCGTTTACACTGTATGTTTATTTCAGCTCTAACGATAAATGTCCTTGTTTAATCTATGGGTTAAACTAGGCCAATGTCAAAGTCAGACTACTATTACCTACTATTAATGTATTCCATTTAATTTTCGCAAAGCTTATGAACATTAGTTTATCCTTGTTATCACAAGTGTCAAACAAGGATAAAATTAATGTACAAAGGTGTTTTCACAAATGTTAAGTAAAATACACCTGTATCCACAATTGATCTTAAATATAAATCAAATTTCAAGAATCTATTTTAAAATCAAACTGAAGACAAAATTAAAGCAGTTCTGACAATAAATTTATATTAAATGCAGACTTTATCTTTAAAAACAAGAATTCTCCAAAGTCAATAATAGATTAATTAAACATTTGATCTTCAAAAATAAAAGTAGATCAGTATTAGAAGTCTCTTAATTAATTTTTACGGAACACAAACTGTGCTGCCAAAACATCTTGCTTTTTATTTTTGAATGTTTCAAAAAATTTTGAGTACATGCTCTTTCAAGGAATTATTTCATTAGAATATGGTTGAAAAATCTTATAATATAACACACACAACGCACACAACTATTATTTTCTATCCTGTAATTTTTTATTTACGAGAAGTAGAAATATGCTGTACAAGCAATTTAGTAATTTTTTTATATATTAATAAGCATCTTTTAATAAGAGAATATTGACACATGTTGATGAAATCTAAAAACTACAAATAATTTATTGCAAAAAAAATTACTTCGACTTGAAATTGCAGAATCCACATCTCCCACTTACCTGACAAATATATATATATATATATCCTCACAGTTAGACTACAGGCTTTGGTAGTCAGTTTTCTTTACTGCTATATATGATAATGCATGCAATGTATTTTCCTTAAAAATTTCTATTAAAATTAAGCCTTTTTAAACAAAACTAATTTATACTCATAGTACAGTATTCATTGTTATCCATTTTATCATGAACACTAATATAGCTTTACTCAAATTAAATTTTTATAATAAACTGTTTAACACAACAAATTTAAATTTGAGAGTTATATATAAAATAGATTTTGCTTTACCATGTACCAATGAGTGCATTTTGTTTCACGTATAGTGCACAAAATGTATGTAAAATGCATTTTATTTTTGTTGTTCTCCGAATATTAAAGAAAGATAAAATGATATGTTATGTGCATACTGCGACAAACGAAGAGCATCCAATATTTTAAATATTACCATTATAGATAGAGATAAAAAAAATAACTCCTGAGAAATATTCAACTAATAAATAATTTAGTTTATCTTTCTGAGTAGAATAAATCAATACAATATTATTATTTGAATGATATAAAAATATAATAAGATATATATATATATATATATATATATATAATCAGTATCGTGGCTGTAATAGTAATATACGTTGTTCAAAAGAAATACAATTTAATTTACCAGGTGTATGCATATGAAAGTGGATTTTACCATAGATGGTCATAGTAGATCAATGTAGTTACCATCAGAGCACGTCATTTCCTTGTTCTGACATCTGACAAAGATTTTCAACTCACAACAATACACAAGTTTGATACAACAGTATAGTTTGTAATAGCGTTGAACATGTCAAATTTTGTGCTTGATAACTACGATTTGCGGACAGTATTGATTTTCTGTTACAAATTGAAGAAAACTGCTGCAGAATCGCATCAAATGCTTATCGAAGCTTTCGGTGAGCATGCTCTTGGTAGATCACGGTGCTATCAGTTGTTTAAAAAATTCAAAAGTGGCGATTTTGACGTCAGAAACGAAGAACGTGGAAAACCACCGAAAAAGTTTGAAGACAGAGAATTGCAAGCATTGTTGGATGAGGATGACGCTCAAACTCAACAACAACTCGCGGATCAATTGAATGTGACACAAGAAACCGTCTCCAGACGTTTGAAATCCATGGGAAAGATCCAGAAGGTGGGAAAATGGATTCCACATGAACTGAATGAAAGACAGCAGGAAAACCGAAAAACCACTTGCGAAATGTCAGACAGGTGGGAAAAATGTATAGCTAGCGATGGGCAATACGTCCAATAAAATATTTTTTATCATTTTCATGCAATGAACGTGTATTTTCTGTAAAAAAAATTCTGGTTTTATATGTATACACCTGATAAATTTAAGGAAGCCTTAAATATAAGTTCTGACTATGAATACGAGCATAAGACACGTTGATTTTTCTTGCATGCCATTTGTAAATACAGAAAATTTGGATGAAACAAAATGATGAAATCGCTTTAAAGCACTTGACTTGTAAAAATGGGTCAAGACTATCCTTGGGGAGGAGACTACCTTCCTCTGATAATAGTCAAAAAAGGCTCGTAAAGTAAAAATAAACTACACATGCACATAATGTAAAAACTATAAAAACTTTACGTGTCTCAAGATTATTTAACGATTGTCAAGTGGAGGTAAGAATAGTCTCGGCTCATTTTTACAAGTGTGTGTGTGTTTTAAATATGTTATTTTTAATTATATCGATATTTTTTAAAAGTTTTTTATATATTACTTTGTATATTAATACTTTTATTTTTGCAGGCGACAACTATTAAAAAAGATGAAAGAAGAAGAAGCCCTCGCAGCCATTGTTGACAGTTTTAATGATAACAATGGAGAATCCAATGAGACAGAAAATTTATTCATCTTACCTGAAGCAATAGATTCGAAAAAAACGGATACTTCAGAAACGTATCTTAATATAAATTCAAATAAAAATACATATGAAAATATCCGAATTTGTGAAGGAGACATTAATGAAACTGTTGCTATCAACGACAAAAGCCTTTCAAGTATAAATAATATACAAGAGCATAAACCTGAAGGTGATCGTATAATCAATATTTCTTTCTTTTTGAGAGAGTTGCATCGAGTATTTGATGGTCATCCCCCAGGATTTGAGTGCAAATTTAAAGATTGGATACTTGTAAATACACGTTACCGAGGACTACTAACACAATTCTTTTTTAAATGTCAAACTTGCAGTTATGAAGCATACTTTTGGTCACATCCCACAGACAAAAAAGTCTTTCTCGTTAATACTGCAATTGCAGCTTCCAATTGTTCAAAAATTGAAATTGATGCCGAACTGAAAAAACAATTTGCAGCTGTAAATTTACCATGTTTGAATGACAATATAGATATTAAACAAGAGATTCATTAATCAATATACATCGATATCGAGATGACAAATAAAAAAAACATGAAACTGCAAGGAAATTGAAAAACAATTTGATAGGAGAGAAATGAAGTAATCAGTGGCATTCCATATTTTGCGTCCGCATGAGACCGACTGTTAAATTTGAGCTGTTGTCGGAATGAAGTTATGAAGTATCTTCTGAACGAGTCGTGAATGGTTTTTATGAATGGTCGCCATGATTATACATGTTTCAACTTTGATTTGAACATATATATATATATATATATATATATATATATAATATATATATAATA